CAAGAGGGGGGGGCAAGAGGGGGGGGAAGAAAAAAGAAAAAAATGAAAAAAAGGAAAAAAGGAAAAAAGGAAAAAAAGGAAAAAAGAAAAAAAGAAAAAAAGAAAAAAGGAAAAAGGAAAAAGGAAAAAGGAAAAAAATTTAAAAAGAAAAAGAAGAAAGAAAAAAAAAAACAAAAAATAAAAAAAAACCCCAAAAAAACCCCAGACATCTGTCCCCTTAACTCCCAAGAAAGTAAATACCAGAATACATACATTAGGATATTATGCTAGACATTTTATTCTTCAGTAAAAAGATGAAGTGCCTCAGCAATCTACTTCGTCCCTTCACATACTATAACTGAGCTTGCTGGGATTTTATTTGTTTTAGAAACACTTAAGTGTTTAGGAAACACTTAAGACAGGAGGAAACTGACAGAAATTATAACCTATAGTCTCTATAGACAGAAAGAATGTGTGAATTATAAAGTAATACAAACAAAATTAGTCAGCATTTACTGGCATTTATCAATTTAAATTGAATAATAAACCAGGCTTAGTTTTAACCTATTGTATGTTTATGTTTTAGAAGATTACTTTTGTAAGAACTTGATAGTTCATAAAAATTAAAACCTACTGAAACATTTTCTAATAAACCACTACTACATATAAATCATGAGAGTATTCTATAGACTTGACCTTGCCACCACATTATCAGAACTTTTCAGTGGGTTTGATTTTTACAGTAGAATGCTGCAGTGGATGGTCATTATAACAGGACTGCAAAATTACCATGCTATTCTACACAATTTGCAAATTTGGGGAGGATTTGGGTTTTTAATTGTTTGTTAGCTTGGCAAAACCAGCTCTGTGTTAACTATCAAGCAGAAATTCAGGAGTTCAGTTCTACTGACATTACCAAATATCAACTGAACTGTTTCCAAAAGACACATAAAATTACTTATGAATGTTACCATTTGAAAAAAGACACAAGATTTTTAGATTAATCTTCACATTTCTAATCATTGCTTTATCTAAAACATAACAAGTCCTGGTTTGTACTATACATACTATTAGGGACTACTTCACATAGACAACGCTTTCAGGCTCATACAAATAGACAAAATTTAAGCCGTTGATACCTGGAGATGCAGACAACTTTTTGTCTGTAACGACCGCAGTAGCTGTCTCAATGTTAGATGCATCTGTCAGTTTCTGTTGATGCCCCGCAATTTTCTTTGTGAAAAGAAATTTTGGTTTGATATTTAATTAAATGAAAGCCAAAGCACAAAGTAACGTATATCTTGCACTATTATCTCCTCCAAAATTGGACTAGATGGAATTTCTCATTAAAACAGGAGTTAATAAGACATATGCAAACACATTTAATTCTACAAGCACTGAAATTGCCTCAGACTATGATTTTTATAATCTTGCATTATAAAGTTCTTTTTCCCTAGAAACAGTAGTTTCTACGCAAATTATTAGAAAAATGAATCAGTTACACTTAAATCTATCAACTTAAATCACATTATAAAGTTCTTTTTCACTAGAAACAGTAGTTTCTACACAAATTATTAGAAAAATCTCATTTTCTAGAGAATCAGTTACACTTAAATCTATCAACTTAAATCTAATATTCCATTAGAAAATGGAGTCTGTATCACTAATGAGCACTGGACCTCTGGTGTCAAAGTAGTGAAATTTGGCGTTTGTTATCAGGTGTACAACATAGCCAAAGACGTGGAAGACTTTTAAGGAAAAGCCACAGGCATTCTGCTATGACACCTTGTTTACCATTGACCTTCTGGATGAGAAGACAACTTCTTAAAGTAATCTGTGGATGAACACTGGGTAGCTACCCCATTTGTTCTGTAGATAGCAGAAATACTTAAGTCTGTTTTTCTTCGGAATTCCCATTTGTACATCTTTCCATTGCTCATATGCCTTTTCCCTGTTCGATCTCCTTTCTGACTCAGTCACCAATTTTCAGAAAATTCTGAAGAACTCTGCTCTTAACTCTGAAATTCACTAACAGGTTCAGTTACTAAGTGTCATTAAGTCTCACATCATTGCAAAAGCCCCATTTACTTATAGAACAAAGCTTAGAAGAGTGGTAAGAATACAAAATACATATGGAATACAACTATATACTGTGCTGTGAAAGCTCCATTTCCCCCACTTTTGGGTTTTGGGGGTTTTTTTGGTGGTGGTGGTACTGAATAGAAGTATTAATTATGGATTTTTCCCTGATTCAGTTTCAAAGTTCTTCCTTAAACAATGTTATGCTTATAGGTTCATCCAAACTCCGCTAGCTTTCTACACACACACCAGTTACTGTAAATCCTACACTTGGTTTCCACACCTATCTAAAAAGAATCATAGAAGTAATTCTGTTTTATGGAAAAAAAATGGAAAATTAAGGAGCCATTGCTTGCCAGATGTTCTAATCCTGTTTAAAAGCATTGATTTTTGCAGAAGGAAATCAAACAGTTGCTGAAAAGTTACAAAAAGCAAGTGCAATTTCTCCCATTCTACTTACTGCCTGTTCTGTAAACTTGTTTACTTGTTTTTGAAGTTTTTGACATTCTTTGAATTTTTCCTTGTAATGGTCAGCAGCCATTTGCAGACGAAGCTTCAGATCTTCAACTTCTCTGCGTAGTTCCTGCTCTACTGTGTTTGAAGTTTCCTTAAAAAAGAAAAATTAGAAATTGTTCTCCCTTTTGTTCAAATACCACCATTTCCCAAAAAGCCTTTTTTCAATTAAAGAAAGTATAATGCCCTATGTAAGTACAGAATTAGTTCTTATTTTCTTTGTGGGAAAGAAAGAAATAAAGTAGTAGAGCACAGATAGAGGCAGTATCTCTACTGAACTTCATTCCAAGCAGGACACACTGAGGAAGCAAATAGGCACTGGTACAATACCAGAGGTAGGTAAAGAGGATTCTTATTCTCTGGGCTGATTAACGTATACCAAAGTCCAAACACCTTCCAGAAGGTGTTCTAGCCATCTTATAGACAAGTATAGCTACATGGCAAAAATGGACAGACCATATCTGTGTTCTATCACATTCACTATGTTCCTACTGGAAGTTGTTCAGTTGAGCTGTAACATTGACACACAAGCTAAACAAACTACAGTTACCAACTGAATATGCACTGTATTCGGATGCTTTCTGGTAATCTGAGTCATTCAGATGATCTGCTACTTCTTTCAGCATGCATTTCAAAGACATTGTCTATAACTGAAATTCTTAGGAAAAAAGGTGTAATTCTTTTGAGGGTTGTACTATTCACTTTGTATTTACAGCACTACTTTATTTACTGTTCAGCTCAATGTATTCTTTCAGACTGCTGCATCATTACAGTAATCCTACTAGCAAACTAATCCAATACAGTTGCAGTCACAGAAGGTACAGTACCAAGCTCACTTCAGTCAGAATGATGAAACTTGTAATTAGCTCACTAGATTTTTTTCCAAGACGAAGAAAGTCAAGACAGTTTCCATTACATTAGTATTTTTATACTTACAAATACTGAAGCAAATTAACTTTGACCACAAATATTGGAAGGACTCATAAGAATCAAGAGAGAATCTATTAATGAGGAAAGAACATTACAAAAAAAAAATTCTATCTATTTTCTTATCTGAATGAATTTTTAATGCTACTGTGGCTCACATAAAAGAATTAAGGAAGGAAGATGATTCAAAACAATATAGATAAATACTGTACTATTCTGTGAAAATAATATGGGGGTGGAGGGGAGTTGCTTTAAGTAGTAGCAGAAACCTTGTTTCTTACCAACCTTCCACACCAGCTAACATGCACTTGATTTAAGGTAGTATCTTGAGTGCCAAAAGAGAATTTGATAAAATTTGCACTAATCATCCAGAAACATATTTTATTCCCCAATTTTAGCAAAGCTAGCTCTGACAGATTTTATAAATACAGATAAGCTTCAGTACTGACAATTTACCTGTTCATTTTTCAAAGCCATGATTTTTTTCATTTCAGCTAAAGCATCAGCAAGCTGCTTTTTCAATTTTTCATTTTCCAGACGTGCACTGTGAAGATCTGCCATAGTCTTATCTCGCACATTTACTGCGTCACTCAGCTCTTTTGACATTAGGACAGCTTCTTGTTTGCTAGCCTGAATCTGATCTTCAGCTTTCCGAAGCCGTTCTTTTAAGATACTCGCATCCTCCTGGGAAAGAGAAGACAGGGAAGAGAATCCATAATTTTTTAATTCAAAGCTTAAATAAAGGTTGGTATAGGGATTAGAAATACTTGAAAGAAAAATCAAGTTTTCCTGGTGGCTTTAGCAAAACCACTAAATCAAGAAGTTAGTACACAAATACCATTTTCCCCATTTGCCTTCTTTGCTAACAATGGTGTGCAAACATATTTCACTGTGACATAAAGGCAAATTTAAATATTATTATTTTATCTATACTGGATTTTTGGTTTATTGTCGACTTTAGTTTTAAACATACACCAAAAAAAGTCCTTCTTTTTTCCAGAACATCTTTGTTCTTATCACCATAGAACTCTTAACAGGCACAAATGGCCATCCAGCTTCAAAACCAAAGTTCACCCCACAGTAAGACACTGCAAGTAACAACAGGGTAAGAGGTCTTACAATGCCTACAATTGGTTGACGTAAGACACCGTAAAGCAGCTTTGGGATGTTTGTCTTACAGCTTCATTTCCCAAGATCTTGCACAACAAGCTTTTCAGATGGAACTGAGAGCAAAAAGTAATCAAGAGCAAGCTGCAGCATGCAGCACTAAGACTCGCAGCAGTGCTGCAGCTCCACAGGACAAGCCCAAGGGCCAACTGACCAAGCTGTACTCCTGGCCTCATTCCTCAGAAAAGCCCAAGATCACACACACGCCCAAAAAAAAAAAAAAAAAAAAAAAAAAAAAAAAATCAGAGCTACTGTCAGCTACTTGCAGCCTCTGGGCTTCCTGAAGGCATAATCACCTCATATTCTTGAGTCTAGACATAAATTCCAGGTATCTCTAGTCCATTATTTGTTAATTTTTGAATAATCATTTAGCATAGCAAGTCCAGAGGAATACCAATATATTTTGTAAATATTTATGAAGATGGATGAACTAGGAAATGCCCTCAAGTCCTGTCCCTTAGCAATTTTTACAGTATATGATACATCAGTTACATATTTCAGTAAATATCTGCAGTTCCACAGTGTAAGACAAAAACGGTAACAATCCCACCAGAAACGTCACAAGCACTTCAAGATTAAAAAATGACACAAATGTTTGATTGCTTCAGCACTGGCGCACAAACACCCCTACATGTTTTTACTTCAAAGTAAAATACAGTAGTAGTTTAACACATTCAGAGACAAAACTACAGAGCAGTCACAAGACTAAAACAAGATAAGCTGTAACTTAAAGTGACATAGCATGGTTTTTGTCCTCTTGCTATCTCCATTCTCAACAGCACTACTTTTCTACTTCAATTTTACATTCATAACTCACATTACTTTAAATGCAATTTCTATTCTTTTGAGATCCAGACTGCTTTTTCTGTGAGAAGACTGGCAAGATACACAAGATAAAATCACCTGCATAATCTGATTTTTTCCATGCTGGCCTCAAAGGCTGTGCCTAACTTAACTCTCTAGTTTGGATCAAGAGCACATTTGTGAAGCAAAACTCCCAGGTAATTCCACTATGACCTATCACACTGTTGATCATGGGACAGAACAGTTGGGGCACAGAAACTGGATTGTTTTTCGATGAAATGAAACAGGAAGGCGTACATGAACACCAAATGGGTATTCTATCCATAGCACCTCACTAAAGCTAGTCTGAAGTAACCCCGCTTGGACCATGGACAGCATAGATACCAGTTCTTCAGCAGTTTCACTCTCCTACCACCAAAAATCACCTCTTCCTTAGAAGTCCTACTGCCACTGCTATTGGTGAGTTCTCAGTCAATTCAGTCCATCGATATCTTACCCTTTTTCAGGTTTTACATCATTGTACCTTGACAGTACATTCACCCAACAACTCCTTCAGCACATGTTTCAAAGTCTCCTCTTTTCTCCTCCATCACCCTCTGCAGCCTCAACATACCTACACCATTATCGTTTCTCTTTTCCTCAATCCCCTTCTTTTTTCATGAAGTTAAACCACTTTTAGTGGTGCACTTTTACTGAACTCACAAATTACTTTTTCACACACAGTTCAATCTCATGGTTCATCATGCGAGACATCTCAACAAGCTCAGAATGTGGAAAACTAAAACTGACTTCACTCCTGCTCATATTCTGCATCTACTGAGAACACCATAATCCTCTTGCCTCTCAACCTATATACCCTAGTGATATCTTCAACTTCTTCCTTTCTCTCATCAACACATACAACCTGACATATGTTCATTTTAAACCAGGCCAATTATATTAGCAATGCTTACCTTGTTTGATGAGGAGAGCAAAAAAGCTTTCTTCATATTTTCTTTTTCAGCTATAAATAGCTGTAATCTGCCAACCTCCTCTTTATAATACGATATCATGTTTTCTTTGTTTGCATCCAAATTCTTAAACGTCTGGATTTCTTTTACTAGTTTGGTGTTTTCTATTTCTGTATTCTTCAAGTGTATCTGTAATGATGCTAAAAAATGTCAAACTCTCCTTCCATGTTATGAAAACTACCTTTCACCTGTCCATTTAAGTGTTCACTAAATTCTAACTCATCTCTGAGACAGATTACATCAGGTAAAGAGAAAAATTAAACATTTGATAATAGCACTGCCCTCCAGCACAAATTTTCTGGCTGGAATTCTTTCAGCTTCATCATCTAATAACAGCTCCACTCTACAGCTAGAAGTTAAGGCCCTGATTTCTGTCCACGTCAAATTAAGCTATTCAGAATTCACTCCTCTCTTCACAAATGCTGGACAACTAAGGACAAGCAAAAAAGAAGTGACTTGAAGAAAACTAAAGAGAAATTAAACTTCTAGTAGTATCTACTGCAATCATCTAAGCAAACAGGACTACATCAGCAATATTCATTTCCAAAGACAGCAAACTACTTTAACAACTCTAGAGCTGATTTTAAGGTATCATTGTCTCTCATATTATGCCTAGTAAAGGATAACTGTTGCACTCAAGTGTTGTCCACTCAAAGACTAGGAGATTTGTGTTGCTTATTTACAAAGGGATTCCATGCTTATGAACAATGTTTCAAGATTTTATTACTTTGGGTGTATATTTAATGCTGTCTGCTACAGAAAGACATTTTCCTATGAACAGAAATGATCTTTTAAATACACTTGATTTGTTTCATACAACCTAAGGATTTCATAATTTTAGCATCTAAGACTTTTCCTGTATTTGGAGGGATAGGGGGAGCTATATTTTATTTTCAATATGGGTGTGTGTCAATACCAGCAGAAGAAATCAGCTATGCTAGTAAAAATCAATGCAATATAGATCCTACTAAAGCTTCTCAGAGTTATGCACAAGATTCAAGAACAGGGATCTAGAAAACACAGTCTGGAGAGAGAACTTAGAAGAGTAAAAAGTAATTTACTTATGGAGAAGTATGTTAAGAAAACCAGTTACTGGGTGATGCACTGTATAACTAATGAACTTCCTCACTAGCATCTATTATTTTTTGTTACTATGCCTGCATTTTAACAAATTGGTGATCCATTCTTCTTCTTAGAGACCTTTTTATATCATGGTATGAATTCAGATGCTATTTTTCTCATTTATTTTTATATAAGAACATCTATAACTGTCTTAAAAATCTGTTCACAGAACTTACCCATTTCCTTTTTTCCTTTAACAAATTCAACTTATCAGACTTCTCCATAAAACATTATTACCTTTATTTCAAACCATTTCATTTCAGTGTATACAGGTACAAGGAATAAAGTTACCTTATAAAGTTCTTTTTCATCCTTTTCTGTCTTTAGCACACATTCAAGTTGCTCCTTCTCAAGCATCACTTTCTTCAGTTTGTCCTTCAGACTAAGACATCGACAAATTAATAGTACAGAACTATTAATACAGAAAGTCAATGCATACACTAAAAATTGTTAATTTAAAAAAAAAAAAACTATGGAAAGAAACAGTAAAATAAAGAAGGTAAGGAACAAAATTACTAAATACCTGTCTAACTCTGTTTCTTTTGCAATGGCTTTTTGAGTAACAGTCATGATATCTTCTTCAAGCTGGAGAACTTTTGAAGCAGCCTCATCATGCTTCTTCTTCAAATCGTCAATTTCAGTTTTAAGAGCTTCTGATGCTTGAATATTATTCTTTAAAAAAATGCAAATAGATATCATTTAAGAATGTGCACCTTCAGAATTACAGCATGCTATTTGAATTAATGCTAAAATCCGGTCATTAGATCTCTTCCTTAAAATGTATGACAAGCCTATTTCAAGTATATGTAAATATACATTGAATATATATATAGAATATATAAAAATATATTAAGCTTGCTACACACAGCTAATATATTAATAAGGAGTCAATAAGGAATATTTTGGTGCAAGCATTCAGTTACTACGAGACTACCGAAGACTTCAGAGTACAGGACAAACAAAGCTGTATTTTGTATCTTTTGCCCATCTCCTTTCTGTGAACTAACCATCGCCTACCTAGCTTAGAAAACATAAAGAACTACTTCTTTTCAAGTAAAAGAAAGTACAAAGAAAAACAGAAGAGCTTGCAGTTGACCAGACAGTTATACCACTCAAGCGAGTCACAGGAAAGACAACTGCAGGCAAAAGGAGAAAAAAAAAAAAAAATGGAAGAACTCTTGATGAAGAGCTAGTTACTACACTACATTCTCCTAGCTGGAACATGTGGAAGGTCTCACAACGCTGAAACAATTGCAGGATTTAGGTCTTTGATAGAGACAGAGGATGCTTGACAACACCCAAAACAGATTTTTCAGAAAACTGACAGATGCAAGATGGGAAGCCACTTTTAAGTATTGCATTTGTTATCTAATTACAGTAACGTCCATACGTTCTAATGCAGTGGACAGCTAAACATCATCTCCACCACAGCAAAACAGCCATGTAAAGCCAGGTCATCTTAAATAACCCAGAAAAATATTTCTTTCAATATAATGCTATTTTCATGAGAAAATTAATAAAACTAAAGTAGAACACACGTACTGAGACAATGTGTTACTCTTTCTGGTATGAAAATTGAATAAAGCTCAGCTTAGTATCAACTATGACAGTGGTATGAATTAAAGCGTAAACAAGGTCAAGACAGACTGACCAACACGCCTGACTACAGCATGACTTACACCGTTTGTGCAGACACTAAGGTACAAGTTGTCTTTCTGCTCTGCATTTGGAAGATTAAAGCACTAGTTCATCTATTCATTTTTAAACAAAGCTTAATGCCCTGAAACAACACTGTACTGTTACATCAAGAGAAACACATCAGCCAGAATTTACGGAGAACCCCTACTGGCCAGATTCCAACCTAACTAACAATGTTTTAAGTACAATAAAATATAATGAGGACTGGTTTTACTCATTAATTGTCAAAATGCACTGTTTGCAAGTGTAATTAAGCCCTGCTTTTACAAGGAACTAAACAGAAGTTTGGGCATTATGATTTTTTTTGGGGGGTAGGGAGTGTTGAATTGTGAGGGGTGGGAAACGTAACTGATGACTCAACCACTTCCTAAACACTATACCAGCACATAAAGTAATTTTTATTTTTGTTACATATGCTATAAAAAGGACTACTACATTACAACTATTTAAACTCTAAATGGCTTTATTATATGCCTTAATATAATAAAGAATTTCACGGGAACATGAATGTACTATCTCTTTAGAAAACAGCATTGGAGAAAATGACCCACAATTTTCGTAAGGTCTTTATTTTTGAAGAGCTATCAGTTTCCTGCAACCAAAAATATATGTACTTGGTATAACGAAGGCAGGATATTTTAATTAAAGTCTGTATTCCAAGTAAAACTTGCTATATAACCAGCAGCAACAACACACATTATAACTGCTTGTCCTCCCCTAGTGCAGTGGAGACTAATTACTTGCCCCTGTTTTGAAAGTCTAGTATAGTAAAAACTCTATTTCAATGCATATCTGTGTTTTCTCTAAACACCACTTCGGTATAACTGTAACTGTTGTAACCCAAGTGCCTTCAAAAGAATTTAATCTGATACATTATATATACAAACTGTACAAACAGTTCAAACAGGCTGCCAAAGGTAACATATATTAAAAGGAATTAATAGCCTGAAAAAAATTCACTCCACAAACAGCATTACAATTGATGCTGCTTTGCTAGTTATTCTGAAGGGACATGGTATTAAAATGTAAAAGTTCCATACTTAACAGATTCTCACCTAATAAACTTGTTTAGATACAACTAAAGCCTACAGTTTTGAAAGAAAGAAGGATTAATTTTTAGAGACGACTTGTTATTTTACAGAATTCTTAGCAATTCAATTTAGATGCTGCAATCCTAGTCCCATACACTCTGGTTACAGCAATTTCAGTGCCTGTAAAAATTTAAATGAGTGCTCTTAGACTATTTTACTGGTAAAAGCTGACTGTGTTTTAGGATGAGTCTAAAGGGGAAGAATATCATAAGCACATCAACTACACAGACAACCTCTATTACAAAAAAAGTAAATAATTACTTTCTGTAATTATTTTTTACTTAAATTTTTCTTAAATTTATCTGGTACATCTACAAATACTATACCTTTTCTTCCCCTTTCTTAACAGAAAGAAATGTACAGAAAGAACATGAATATTTTAATGAACTGGTTTAAAACACCCAACAATTTTAAGATTATTTTTACTCTGGATTTTATTTTTAATCCAGTTACAAATACAGATTCCCCCATGTCGTCCCCCCCTTAGAGTTGCAACAGCCTTACGGGTGGATGGGGGAAGCAAACTGCATCACAAGGGCCAGAATAAGCAGCCAGCAAGTACTTAAGTCAGCTTCATTGCTACAAAACAAAAAGCTACCAAGGTAAGAATTCCTGTAACTACTAGGAGTCTCACTAGGGAAATGAAACAAAGAAAATTTAATGTAGTTGTCAAGTGAATTTATCTTCCCCAGAATCAAAATCCCACTTTGAAAATTTTTATGCACCTTCAGATAAGGAACAAGAAGAAAGATGGGGACACCAGAATCTTTATTGCTATTCTAAAATGGCAAAATATTTAAGACTGATTATTTTAAAAATAATTTTATAGTAATCACATGAAACCCTGTCCTCCCCCTGCAAAGAACTGCCATTAGACATAATGTATTTGTTTACAGTGCATTAACAACAGCTGCTGAAACAGTTTTTATATCAAAAAGTTCTAAATTGCAGATCAGTTGCTTTAGGTTTGTGTAACCTAATCATAAATACACCGATTGAAACCTCATAAAGCTATTACAAGCTCTATCTAAAAGATACGCGAAGATCGTACCCTGAAACATGTTTAAAATCTATTTATTAAACTTCTGCTACAAAAGTACTAATAATCTTTCATTTGAGAATGGGGTAGCCATAAAGTTTCTAGATTCTCATTTTTTAACAGAAAACTATGGCAAAAAAATCTGTATGTTCAGCAATCAACAACACCCCACTTTCACTACTTATTTTTTACTTCAAATGGATTTTTGCAACACCAGTAAAACATTTCAGAGTACAGCCTGGTTAATGGAAGCAAAGCAGTATAGACCCCCCTTCCTGTGAATCACACAACATGTTTTTCAAACATACTTAAGGCAGAGAGAGATTCAACAGACAGAACAAAATACTCGAAAAATACAACCCAGGACTATTTCAAGCTCTGTCACCTTACAGTATGGCAACGGGCAGCATGTTTTTTTATGCTTCATCTTCCCTTTTCATCACATGTAGAACTCCCTATCCACTTTTTAAAAGCCATTCCACACCTAAAATAATCACCTTTGATTAATGGCTAATATCTGCAATCTTTATTTTACTTTTTTACAGAATGCATACATTGCAGAGAAGAAGAATGAAAGGTTAAAAATAAGCTATGCAACTCTGAAACCAAAGACATCAAGTCACCAAATATGAGGCAATTTATTTTAAAAAAAAAAAAAAAAAAGAAGCAGCAGCAGCACCACCACCTCTCAAGTTTCAGCTGGATTGATTTATCTGGACGTAAGTTAATGTCAGGGGAACCATTGTGCTTTGTACTCTGCAGAGAATTTAGGGGATCTAGATGAATTATCTGCAGGAGCCTTTTGTTTATCCCATTGACATCATAGCAGCTCCAACAGAATTGTGTGAAACAATTGGCTGACATCATACTCTGTTTAAAGGACCTCTGAGGAAAATGATGAACACAACATAGTAGCATTGTAGCCACTGCAATACCTGAGTGTGCTCCAAACACAGGGCCTGTATGTTCTGAAAGACAACCTCAAGTTGTAATTTTTCTTTCCAAAATAAAATGTAAGCATTCAGTAAAACAGTAAACCAATTTCAATAAAACTCAGTGATATTGAGCTTTTATATCTTTGTGACTATGATTGGCAATAGAAATACTGCTCCAAAAACCTAAGGTATCACTAGTAGCAGTCATTTAATTGTGTTAATCTCTCCAACTGACATTGTTAAACAGATCAAAATGCTACAAAACTAAGGCTTAACTCTGTAAAAGTTCATTTAAGTAATATCAGTCATCCAATTACTGTCACAAAGGCTACAGCTGTGCAAGTTTTTGCAGGAGGCAGTGGAAGTATTTCTATACTACGATTTTGCAGCATGCATTTACCTTTCAGAATGTTAATTTCTTAAATACCTTATAATTTCACTATAAGCTAGCGCTTTTGCAAAGAGTAATTCTCATGAATACATAATTTGAATTAAAGTGCAGGCAGGATATCTATCTAAAACATCTAAGAATCTCTCACATGAATCTGTTCAATCACCCCATGAAATAAATTTCAATTTATCAGTATTTCAATTAATCAGTTTAAGAAATATTCATACACAGAACAGTCACTAAAGCAATAAACCAGCATTTTCTCTTTACAGGATGTTTATAGCACCCTTGGGTGCTATAACTGCTGGTGCCAAACTGAGCAATTCTGAGTGTTTAATTTGTATCTTTAAAACATTATTTACGTGGAGTTTGGGGCGGGGGGGGTGGTTTTGCTTTCTGGATTGGGGGATGGTTTTTTGCTGGCTGTTTGTGGGTTTGCTTTTTTGAGTGGTTTTTTTTTTAATCAACATATTGTTTGGGGGTTTTTTTAGCTTGATTTAAAGAGGCACTGAAAAGAC